GAGGTGGATATGGACTTGGATAGCTACCAAGTCGCTCTGGAAGAAGTTCTTACATGGTTGCTGTCAGCTGAGGATGCATTTCGGGAACAGGAAGAAATATCTGGTGATGTTGAGGAAGTCAAAGAACAATTTTCCACCCATGAAGTAAGTTTCTCTTATAAATTCTTCTGTTGTGGTTTAGCTTCTTTTTTTTTTTTTGTGTGTTTGTATGTAAATAAGCTGCAGGACTTCCATTTCCTAGTCTTTTTTCAAGGCAAAATTGTTCTTTTTAGAAGAACCTTGAATGAAGCACGCTTTGAAACCTTAATGTAATTTTTTAAAAAAAGCCTCTGGTAGCTAGTTTATTGGTGTGCATAATACAAAGGCAGTATTATCCAGACTGGGTTGTACTTCCCTACTGCCAATTACTAAAAAGCCTGGTCAGCCTTATGCCACTTGATGTTAAATAAGGGTAATGCTGAAACTGATAATCAATTTATTCAGTGGTCTTCCTCTGATGATTAGGATACTTTGTTTCAGAAACATGTGTTGATGCTTCCAAATGACTCTTTTCCAAATTTTGGTTTGACTACTAATTTGGTTCTAAATCTGAACAAATGTCCTAATGTTGTTAGAAGTTTGTCATGTTAGATGGTTTACTTTCCTCCTGTGTCAGCTTACTGTATAAAATAGAATATAGAGTTTGAATGCTGATCAATAGGAGGAATTTTTTCCTTGTGCTGTAGTTTTAAAGCCATGAAGCAAAGGAAGAGGTGTTCTGGATTTACAGTAAATTCATGTTGCTAACTCATAGGGTTCTAATCTTTCCTGCAATAGATTTCAGATGTTGTTTTATGTTCTGTTGACCATAGGTCATTTCCTGTTTCATTCTTGGTGTGTTTGTTTGAAGGCTTTCTTCTCCCAAGCAGATCATTAAGGTGGTCAGCTTTTTTTCTTTGCTTTACTGGATCCAGAATTTTTGTAGTGCATGGAAAATATTGTGTCAAGGAAAGGAACAGGTCTGCCATCCTCATGTATTTGATGGTGCCAGCTCCTTCTACAGCACTGTTTCAAAGATGATAAATTTATAGGATATTTACCAACTCATAAACTCTGATAGGACCTCACAGTGATGTCTCTGTTTGTACCATTTCCAGGGTTTTATGATGGAACTGACTGCGCACCAGAGCAGCGTGGGCAATGTTCTGCAGGCTGGAAACCAGCTGGTGGCCCAGGGAAATCTGTCACCTGAAGAAGAGTTTGAGATCCAGGAGCAAATGCTGCTGCTGAACTCCCGCTGGGAGGAACTCAGGGTGGAGAGCATGGACAGGCAGTCCCGGTGAGTTCGTGGCACTTAACCTCTTCTAGAGATTCAGGACTGACCTCTGGTGCTTGCTGTGTTTTGGAGAATTTGGTTTGCATCCCTTTGTAAGACTTTTTTTTTTAGAATTAACATTTCAGTTTGTGACACAAAATCCACCTTCATACTTTCTAAGGTGAAACAAATGGAATGAGTATAACTGATTGGGTTTATTTTTTTTTGGTCATCATGTAAAGTATTTTGTGAATTGTTATGTAGATGTGCCAGACTAAATATATGGTATTTAACTGCAGTGGTTGCATAAACTACTCAAACAATATTAGAAACATATTCAAGTTTCTCAATAAAGCATACAGTGGATGTGGATATCTGTGGGTATTTACATAACTAAAAAAGCTTTTAGAAGATTTTTTTTCCTACATATGGGTTACCAAGGTAAGAGCTGCACATCAAGGGAAAAACTGCTTTTTGTTAGGACTTTGAGCAAGCAGTGGTTTTATTAGCAGCAGTCCCCCATTGGAAGAAACAATTCCTGATATAGGTTGCATAATTAATGAACATTTTTTATTGAGAAAGAAACAAGGATACTTATCTGTATTCCTTAGCTTAATGGTGAAAATTTTATTTGATGATAGGTAAGAGTTTTATGTATGGCCTTGCTTCTTTCCTATATGAGCTAGAATTTAGTTCCTTTCCCCGGGAAAGCTGTGTCTGAGGTAACTCCGTGCTTCCCCCTGCAGCCTGCATGACATGCTGATGGAGCTCCAGAAGCAGCAGCTGCAGCAGCTGTCTGACTGGCTGACAGTCACGGAAGAACGCATTCAGAAGATGGAATCTCAGCTCCTAGCGGAAGATTTGGAGTCGCTTCAAAAACAGCTGGAAGAGCACAAGGTAAACCTTTTGCCTGTTAGGTAATATGTATGGAAGATGCCTATGTTGGTGGATTCCTTGACTAAGAAACTTGATTGTGTCAGAAGTCACATATGGCTGCATTTGGTGTTTGCAAAAGGATGATGATGGTGTAGAAAGGAGTTAGAAGCCTTAATACTTGAGCACTGGTGACTAGTAGGAACTATTATATTTGCTTCATGCAGGAAATGTAACCTTTAGGGAAAATTGTTACCCTTACTTTGTG